ATTAAACACGGTGCTTACATTAATGCCAAGGGCATAAAGAAATCGACACCACTTCATGTAGCTACGAAGAATGGTAAAAGCTTAAAGTTCTCTCACTTCAGACCACAAACTAACTTTTTTGATTTTGATTTGATCACACTGCAGGTCGTGTAAAAATGACTGAATTTCTCATCGAACATGGTGCTGGTGTCAACGCTATAGAAATCGATAGTTGGACGCCTCTTCATTTGGCTGCAGAAAATGGTAATGTTTCGAAAACCTTAACGCTTTCGAACTAAAGACAATCGTTTTTTCTTCTTCTACATTTCAGACCATGTGAAAGTCGCAGAAATTCTCATCAATCATGGAGCCGAGGTAGATGCTAAAAACATTAATAAAAGTGTGCCACTTCATGTGGCTTCAAAGAATGGTAATCGTTTTTTGAACTTTCTCATTTTCACAAACTCAATGAATCTTGGTTGATTTTGGTTTGTTCACTGCAGGTCATGTAAAAGTGGCAGAAATGCTCATCAAACACGATGCAAATGTCAATGTCACAGATGAATTTGGATTCACACCTCTTCATTTGGCTGCATCAAATGGTAAGTGATAAACTTTGGCTCTATATATTATACGAACAAATTGCTGATTTTGCTTGTTCTACACAATTCAGGTGATAAGAATATGGTTGAATTTCTCATCGAAAAGGGCGGCGACGTGAATGCAAAAGACGTTAATGGATTCACGCCATATGACAAGGCAAAAACTAATGGTGAATTATCAAAACACTCACTTTACAAAATTCCGACAATCCATTCATTTTGATTCGTTCACACATCCCAGGTAACGACGAAGTCGCAAAAATCCTCATGGAACATGGCGGGAATCCAAAAGAAACCACCAAAGACAATAATTCATTGATTTATATCATCGTTGGTGTTGTGGCATTGATTTTAGTATCGGCGATTTCGATTACTTGTTTATACGTGCGAATGAGACGGAAGAACGAAGTGATACGCAAACTGAATGCAATCGAATTGAAATGTTTTGAACTAGGCAATGTAGATGGTATAAGCTCAAATCTAACGTTAGATGAACAAGCCGATCTGTTGCCCTACGACAGAAAGTATGAATTTCCTCGCGAAAAACTGAAGCTCGGAGCACAGCTTGGCGGTGGTGCTTTTGGTGTTGTCTATGAGGGAATCGCAGATAGCATTTTACCAAATGAGAAGAACACAAAAGTGGCCGTCAAAATGGTTAAACGAATGTCAAATGACGAGGTTAGTGATTTACACCTGTTTAGATTCGACCGTTCAAAAATGAATCTCATCATCGTTTATTTATGAATAGATATTGCGTGCTCTAATTATGGAATTGAAAATTATGGTACATTTGGGCCAACATTTGAATCTAGTCAACTTACTTGGTGCGGTCACCGACAATATCACACGATGTAAACAAAATAATAGCAAATGCTACATTTTTGTTGCAAGTGCGCCGAAATAATTTTTATTGCCTTTATCATTTCAGACGATATGATGATCATAGTTGAATACTGTAGATACGGTTGTCTGCAAAGTATCTTAATCAAAAGCCGATCATCATTCATCGATCAGATTAATCGTGAAACAGATACAGTTGATTCAAGCATAAATGCAAGAAAACAACGCGTAGAAAACAGTGCAGGTGTTGATAACAACGACAGGTAATTTCATTTCATTTTTTTTTTAAACAAATCAAAATATCAAAAATATTTTGTTTGTAGTTATCAAACGGATTACCAATCGGTGGACAATTCATTATACGTTCGTGATCCAATTGATGGGGATCACCAATCGATTGCCAATTCATTATACGTTCAAGACCCAAATGATGGGAATCACCAATCGATTGCCAATTCATTATACGTTCGAGACCCAAATGATGAGCACCACCAATCAGTAGACAATTCGCACAGTGGGAATTGCTCAGCAGGTAAATCAGCTTCACGTTGAACGCGCATTTCACGCATATTATTCCGTGATACAGAATCCGTGTATACCTTTATGCTTCCTTTACACTTTACACTTCACACAGATGATGTAGGCACATCCAGCAATTTGATTGATTCTGATCCAATGCCGCAAATTACAACGATCGATCTACTATGTTGGTCTTTTCAAATAACGCGTGGAATGCATTATTTGGCATCACGCAAAATGATGCATGGCGATTTAGCGGCAAGAAATATTCTTTTGTGTAACGAAAACGTCATAAAAATTTGTGATTTCGGTTTGGCTCGATCGTTGTACAAAACTGAAGTTTACCGTAAGAATAAAGAGGTAATTGATAGCCCATAAAGTGCCCATTATACAGGTTATTTAGAGAAAAAAGTCTTCCATTTCGTAGGCACTGCTTCCATTCAAATGGTTGGCACTTGAATCGATCAAAGATCACTTGTTTAGTATTCAGACTGACGTCTGGGCTTTCGGAATAGTGCTTTGGGAATTGTTTTCGCTTGGGACGTCGCCATATCCTGGTTTGTCAGGCCAAGATTTTTACGAAAAATTACTGGACGGCTATAGATTGGAGAAGCCTGACTTTGCCACTCAAGACATGTAAGAACTATGGTGTAACTAGTTAGGAACATATTCATCATTTTGATAATGTCGAGTTTTTTCCATAGACATGACATAATGTTATCATGTTGGCGGGTCAATCCCGAGTTGCGACCATCATTCGATGGTCTTGGGAGAAGTATCTCCATGCTTTTGGACACCAGTGTTACCGAACGTTTTGTGAATTTAAACGAACCATATTTAAAAGCAAACGTGGCGAAGTACGAAAGCGGAAAAACAGACTATATAGCTTTGATGGGAACACCCAATTTTCAAGCACCTCCTATACCATCTGTACCAGCTGCACTATCCGATCAATCCGCACCATCCACATCAACACTTGAATTCAATACAATGGTTGAATGTCATCAACAACCAGACAAATCATCAACAACTGCAAAAGATACTTATGTATAGAATCAATTTGTGCAGATTTTCCTCTATGGATCCATCTGCCAATGAAAGGAATGACTTAGTTCTCATCTGAATTCTACTGAAAAATAATTAGTCGGAAAATGTCAATAAAAAAACAGTCAATTAACAATTTATAAAACCAAAAGACATCTTAAGTTTGGACTGGAATTGAAATTTCCATTTTTTTTCTTCCAATGATTTTTGTACGAATTTGATACTACTTTGATGGTGTTGCTTTGGTGTGCACAACGAATATTGCATTCGAGATATGACTTTTCTGTACAATGACCGCATTGTTATTGAATGTTTGTATCGCTTGTGGTTGTGTTTAAACGATGCTTCCTTCTATGTGGGTGCACGCACAAATATAAATTGCAACTCTACTTTGCTGCATAAGCATATCCAACGCACGACATAAGCTGAGTTGAGCTATGAATTTGAACGCTTGCTTTTGTATTTGCATGAAAGAATGCTTCCTTATCTATTTGCTCCAACTGCACCGTGCAACGCATGTTTCTGCACATGAGAAATTCCGATTGCTTGT